CCTACTTAAAAAGCAACTACCAGACTCCTCAACTCAGAGTAAACTCTGTTTGTTCCAGAATAATCGTCTCTAATGGGTAAAATTTGAAACACCTATTTATGCAAGGCCAGACACATCCTAAAATAAGTCTTTCCAAATACAACATACAATATTTAGAATCAATCTTGTACTCGGTATACATTTTACTTTGGTTACATGGGAGAAAGCAAAAGAATGGTGTACGCCAACCTAGGGCTTGCATGTTAAGTTTTCCCAGACAGTAGAAAAGCATGTGCTTTACTGCTATTACTTTTTTGTATACATGATTTTGTTATTCTGAAAAAAATATTTAATTCTTGCATAGGAACTTTATTAAAATTCAGTTAAAACTGCTTAAAGAAAAAAAAAATCCTTACAAGGCAAATCCTGACAAGCAAATAAATAGCCAGTCAAAGCTTTAAAAATAATAAAAATAAAAAACCAGCACAATGCCCTGTCCTTCCACGTTGAACTTACTGTTTTTTTCTTTCAGTACTCTTCAAATCTGGTCTAGTTTGCATTTGAAAATGGTCACAAGCTTGGAGAATGTAAGAGGGGAACACTACATACGCTTGCCCTGGTCTTCACCCTTAAGCATCCACTTTGGCCACTACTAGAGGCACGACATTCGATCTGACTCACATCCACTGTTTTTACATCCTTATGTTCCTAGAGGACAGCTGAAACTACTGAGCACAGAATGCCTCCATTCCCCGCAACGGCACGTTTCCTAGACTGTAAAACGTTGCAATTAAACTTCCTCCTCCTTTATCACAAAAACAAGGAAAAAAAAGTTAGCAAAAGATAGTCTTTACCTCTCCACGTTGAGCTTCTTGTATTCTGGTAAATCTGAGGTCAGCATGTTCCCAGTTTGCATTTACACTATATATTCTCAGCTGGGAAAGTTCAAATGAAGCATTAAAGGCTTTTGCACCAATCCTTATTATAATGGAGTTCACAGAAACCGAAATGCCTTCTACCACTTTTTCAGCAAAGCCATATTCACTAAAAAGTGAAATGCCAACATATTAAATACACACCTAATGAACGGGCACAAAATTAAACTTATTAAACAGCTGAAATACATCTTGGAACAAACATAAAGTTAGTTCCTAATGTATTCTCCAGTTATGAATTTTTTTTAAATACGGTTGATCTAGTTTACAATGATTTCTACCCTATGATCCTAACCTCAAAATAGTTATTAAATAATGTATTTTGGACAAAGACCAATCTCCATGAAGTATAACAACTAATGCAGTTTTTCCATTATAAATGTTTTTATATACATAAAAATATATTAAAAATAAAAAACAAGTATTATACATACATAAGAATAACAGTCTACAGCATTATGTTTAAATCTTACTCTTCTTGCAAAATTGTATAAAGTATTTGCTCTGTTTCATCCTATAAAAGAAAGGCATCCTAATGGCGGTTACATTTTTACACCAAATCAACATGCATTCCAGTATGAAAAAGGATAAAGCAGTTGCAATTAATTTTTAAATACAAACCTTATGCATTCTGAATGTTTTAAATTAGTGAACAGAAAACTATTCTAAATATTTTTTTAACATCTAAAATTGTTATGCCTTCGGGTTTTTTTTTTTCTGCTTGTTTTAAAAGAACCGTTCATGTGGTTTCTCATTCTTTTTCCCTTTTATAACTTTCATCCTACACAGAATCCCTATAGCAATGATTTTCAACTTGTACCCTAGGAGACACAGAGGCCCATGGATTACTCCTACTTATTATGCAGAAGTTAAGATAAAAGCAATTGTATCACCAAATTAGTTTCTGTGTATATATGGGACCCTATGCCCACTGAAAAATGTTTTGGGTCCATAAAAAGGAAGTGATTGGGGGGTGGGGGGTGGAAATCATTGATGCAATGCTGTATTGTCCCACCAAATTACTTGACTTTTGGGCTACATAGTGTGCATGAAACTTTTCAGTAAGATTTAGCTGATAAAATAAAGAAAATAGAACTTTAAAACACCACACTAACCAATAGCCCTTAATACTGTTTCTTACACCAAACAAATGAAAAACAAAATTTTTTAAAAACCCACTCCAACATTATACATATTTTCCAAATAGGCTGAAGGTAAGATTTATTTAATTTTTAAAAAAAAACTTAATCAATTAAACGTGGTAAATTTTTCATGCAGTAGCTGTACCCATATGAAACATGCCTAGGAAGCTCCATACATAGTTCAGATGTTCTTTTCAAGCCTGGGCCTGGATAGTTCCAAGTAATAAAATAACATTTTGGCGAGATGGAAATTGCAAGCTGCCACCCTACATACTTCTGGAAATTTGCAAGGGATCTAACTGTTTCATAGTAATCCAAAATGAGTAATTTTAACTTTTTTTGATCAATCACATGTAAGGATCATCACTGACCTCTGTCCGGATGCAGTTGCTATAGGAGAGGGTCCATTAGGGGCACGTGGCTCTTCACATGTGCTCATTTCCATTACAACTTTATCCAAGGACTAGAAAAACAAACAAACAAAAAACCCAATAAATTTGATACCTAAGAGTTAACAAAGTAAATACATGACATATGAAGAACAAAAAACCAACCAACAAAAAAGAAAATCACTTGAGAACTTTTTCTGAAATATACATAAAACATTTTATACAACCTCAATCTTCCCATAAACTTTTGCAATGTCCCAGAATTATCTTTTTTTGAAAAATTTGTTCATATAAATTCCAACAGACCTTCCTAGTCAAATATTGGATTACAGAATCCTTGATCCCGAAGTATTATTATCCATCATGCACATTTTCAAAAACTGCCATTTCGAAAAGGTTATGATTTAATGCATACTCATCTGGGTTTCCTTCCTGTATGGCTGTTCTTTCAGTGAAATACTTAATACCTCCCAAGTTTTCTACATGTAAGTTCAGAAAATTTTAATGGAAAATATTTGAAGGCAGTGCATTAAAATCTGTCATAGTAGATGAAGCTTTGCACTGCATCTTTAAAACAAAATCTGTACATAACATATACCCATGAGTGTGTATACACTCGGTGTGTGTATATGAATCTTCAGTAGATCTAGTAAAACAAGTAATTTCTAAAAAGATATATACTAATATAATTTGCAACATATCATATTATACTAAAATTTTATGCTATTATTGCCTTCTTGATACCTGAGGTTGGCACTTACAAACGAAGCTGGGAATTAAGGGAATGAGACACCTAAATCTTATTTCAACTGGAGGCTATATTTAAATAGCAGAACTATAACACGCATTACAAATAATACGTGCTAACAGGGCAGTGAACAGAATGGGAACAAACTAAATGTAAAACCTTATTCCCAGCATCTGAATAAATCCAAGAATCTCCTAACTTACATTACAATGTTTGTGACCTAAATTTATCATACAACTTGGGAAGGCTCTTAATTTAAGGCTTATAGTTCTGAAATCTTGTCCCATTGGAAGCTCATTCAAAACACAACAGCTAATATCACTTCCCTGTCTAGTTCTGACTTTATACCATGCCTTCTGAACTCCTCCAATTACCCTCTCTTAGGTCAGGCAAACCACACTAATAAATTACCTTGCAAAACCACCACAAAAACACAATCTCTTAGTTTGAGGATGGTGGGAGGGAAGGGGGAAACCAAGATTCCTCCTGGTTATCCTAACATTTTCAGATGTTTGACCAGTCTTTTAAGGATTCTTAAATTAAGACCTTTGGAGCAATTTCCTTCACTACCCAACTAATGCAAAGAACAGCAGGGTACTGATTTAAGGAGTTTGCATAATATAAATAGGAGTCGACAAAGAACACCTCGATGTAGATATCTGTCTATCCTTTTCTCACTGGCAACTACTGTACTTTAATAGAGGAAAAACTGCTGCATAGCATCCTGGGGTCCCCAAAACACTCCTCAAAATTTTATTGTTTATCATATAGAAACAGAAATTGATTATAAGCAAAGATAACTTAGTATTTGCCACTACGTTAACAGACATATTTTCACAAAGGGCAACTCAGCTCAATAAAAGCACCTTTGGCTAGGCAAGTGGGTTCTAGTTACTTCCTAAGCCATGCAAACAGAGGATGCTATTCCAGTTTAACACTCTGTAGCAAAAATATCCCTACCAAACCAGTGGAAGTTCAGTGACGTAAGAAATGGCTGAAGTTGGACTTTTAGGCCATTGAATTCACCTTCCTTTAGAAGTCAAAAAGGCTGTATACAGTCTACCATTGAAGAGCGAACTTTTGTTATCAATTTAATGTACTTGCTTGAGGTAAGCTTTATGTAAAAAAGGTGACCTTGAAAGTTATCTTAGCCTCAAAGATTGCTAATGTAAGTTCAATAGGAGCAAAGCAAACAATCAGGCCTTACTATCGTAGGTCAAAGTATGTAATCTTTAAGAATAGCCCGGCTTCAACTGATTTCCTAATTTGGTAGTTGCACCTTACAGTCAAGAGGCTGAATCATCCCACCTGAGCATTACTACACTTTAAGCTCTGGGTGTCAGGAAGAAGCAGTACAGATGTTAGTACATCACAACTGGGTCACTAGCAAATGCATCAAGTATTTAAAACAACATGTCTTTCCCAAGTCTGATTCAGAACTAAGAAATTACAAGCACATTCAGGAATTCACTGCAAGACTGGGAAGCACGACAGTTAAAGGAATATTCATTCCTAAGTAAACATAATTAAGAAAGTTCAGCTATTACTAAGAAAATCACTTCTGGTGCTACCACATTTCTTAGTATACTTAAAAATAAAGAACAAAATTAAATGAATGCAAGAATTAGCATTACTTCTAATTGTTGTTGAGTCCTATTTACACATTTTACATCTTATTTATACGCAGCCTGAATCCCAGACTTTTAGAGAAACCCTGTAAATGTTATGTGTATCAAACCTGCTATAACCGAGATAACTGGGTAGAGTAGAATAGAAAAGTCCTCAGAAAAGATAGCTCCAAAAGACAGGCAGGAACTTGTAAAAGGGTTAGTTGGATAAATAACTACCCTTCAGGTGAACCCAAATTAAGATGTAATGGCTGAAGAACTTGACAGAAATTTAGCTAACAGTCAAACATTATAGTGATGACGCCCAAAGCCATAAATTAAGAAAACAAACCTACCAACAAAAACATTAAGACATTTTGTCTTGATCTGCCACGACCCAGAGGACACTTAGTAGAGGCCCATTAGTGTTTCAGTTATTTTTAAAGTCAAGTCGAGAGCGCTATATAAATATTTGGGATAAATTCTGCTACACAGAGTATATTTAGGAGTTGATCTCAGAACTCACCAAAGAGATGGGATGTGTTTTCAATTTTGTCCATGGTATCTGCAAGGGAAAACATTATTCTAAAGCAAGGTAAATGTTAAAAATAGAGTAAAATAAAGCATTTGTTTAGAATGTGTTTTATGTATAAAAATTAGGTTTGTAACTCCTGAACTCATAATAATATTACTTTCAAAATATCAAGTTTATCTGAAAATGATGTATAGTAAATTTCTGCATGCACGTAAGTTTATGTTAGGTGTTAGAACTTCAAAATCTACTTATTACTGATCATTAAACAGAGGAACAAAACAGAATCTGTCTCTTTAACACTGAGTTGTCAAGCACCAGAAAAAGCAACACTGTCTTCCACATTCTTTCCTTTAAAAGGAAAGAAAATCCACATTTGCTTTCTTGGCCTACAAGTAATTGGATGCCTGCAACAAAGCATCAAGTTCCCTGCATTCAGAAAAATCAGGACAACTTCCCATCAGGGCAAAAAAAAAAAAGAAAAAAAGACTGAAGAGGTGCCAAAGTTTGACCAGATCATAACTTCTGTCAAAAACAAGCCATAGCTTCATGTCTTACTCTCTTATTAGTATAGCCTAGAAGAGATGATAAACATTGTTTCAATTCTTGGCAGCCAGAAGTACCCAAAAAAGCAAGGCCTACTAGATTTAGAGTGTTACCACATTTCCCGCGGAGACCAGAATCCCTCAGAATGGTATTTTTGGAAATATGAAAGGAACAAGAGGGAAAGCAATAGAAATAGAGGGGTAAAGAGAAAAAATAACACATAAAAAAAGATAATAATAAATAATTATATCAGACTAATTACCATGGGCAAATAGAAGCTTTTGTCTCTACCCCTATTTCAGAACATGCAGGAATAAATTCTACACAGAAAGAAATTTTTTTTTTTAAATCGCTGCTTATTTTCATTGTTTCCATACATATTTCATATCACCACATGAGAAACGAAAATGAGTAAGAAATTATTGCTTGTAACATCTTTGTTTTTCTCTAAAACTCTATCAAGCTTCCATCACAATTTTCTGTTAATATAAAGTTGCTTGAAAGTTTATAGAGACAAAAGGAAAAAAAGAAAGATTTGGCTAATTACCATTCTGGCACAATAAAATACTCACCCTAATGGATGCTTTATTGCAAAAGACCTTGTTTATAGCAAGCCATGTTGGAAGATCCAGCATGTTCTGAAGCACCTCTTGATCCAGCTCTAAATTGGTCAGCTGACCTTCCCCCTTTAACGTGCTCAGGTTGATCTTGTCAGGTGACAGATTTTTGGTGAACCTAAAAACAAACATCCACCTTAAGCAAACGCATATAAAGCAATCAGAGCTGTGCCACATACAGCTGACAATTTAACTTAAAGCAACGGACTGGGGATGGGAAATCATCTTAGGGTCTTAGGTACAATTCCACCCTGACAAGAAACGGTACTATGGAATAGCTTTGTCCCTCTAAATTTTTGCATCTCATTAACTCCATTTACAAATACATAAGCAAAATTAAATGTATCGTGAGGTATCTCCTAATTTGTCAGTCACCCAGAATAACAAATCCTTGATTCAAAGTATTTAACCAATTCTTTTACACTGTTTAAGGTAGAAGTGAAACTATTTCACTCTTCTTCAGCTTCTCAAAAGGAGAAAAAAAAAATTTCAAAACCCCCTCAACTTATACTGTCACTCTTAGAGCAAGCAGGAGTGGCTTAGAATTCACTCAGGAGGAGTAACAAAAAGGTACTTCTTATAAATAGTACTTTTCTATATGTATTTACATTTAAAATATTGAAAAGAAAAGTTTTATTTACAATATTCATTATGCTTAACCATAGAACTCAATAATAGAAATCAGAAATACACACGCACACATATTTACACACATATAGCAGCATGGCATATATAAAATACTGGATGAAAACTCGAAAGATCGATCTGATATACAAGGGCTAAAAAATATACGTATGCAATAAATTTCATTACACTTCAAAGGTGCTATGATTTGCTAATACAACACAACAATCTATATGACTGTGTCAAATGGTTCACATCCTTGTGAGATAACAGGACAAAAATCACAGGTACTCTACCCTCACCTCAACAGCTGTAGCATTATAGCTACCAAAAGCTGAAGAATAGGCTATACTTAACCACACTTGCATTCTGCCACGGAAAATTGCTTCTCCTCATGAATTGGGTCTAATTTTACAAGATTAGGTAGTATAAAATACTACTGTTTGCATTACGCTTTGTTTGACTTTTCCCACCAAAATCTCCCCTTGATGATATTTTGCAGGCAGAGAGCAAAGGGATTTGTCTGTCCACATCACCCTGAAGCAATGCCCCAGGAGGTGCAACTTCAACATTTCCTTCTCATCCAAGAGACCAATTTCTAATCAAATTACAAAGTCCTTATTAACTCAGGGGGAGATGGCAGAAGGTGAAGAAGGCTGGCAAGCTTTTCCTCTTAAGAGTTTCCAAGTGTGGCTTGAAACATGGCTGGCATTTCTCAGTCCAACTGCTTTATTGCATTTTTGTGATGCTAAGTTTGGAAATGCATTTACCTAGCCTGACAAAATGCAAATATCCATTTTACTGCTCCTACAAAACATTCAGACTGACATCATAAACTTACAGAGTTTCATCACCTGTCAGTTTAATCACAAAGAGGAACTCTCAAAGATCAACAAGACATCTGGGGGTGGAGGTGCATAGAGGAAAAAGCTTGTTCAGAATTAAAAGTTCAGTTAAATTTTTTGTTCTGTTTTGTTTTGTTTTTTTACTTTACCAAGTCTGAAATTATTCAGGAAGTATTTGCTAATAGCACTAGATACACTTCTTATGATAGAAGTGTTGCAGTTGTTTCTGTATTGCTTACAAAGTATAAATTACCCAGAAGGAATGAGCTTTGAGTCATGAATAATATATTTTAATAATTTCAGTACTAAAAATGCATTAAGATAAGGCTATTGACAAATATATTTTCCTTGACAACTCATGTATTTCTAAATGCTCTATTTAGAAATATTATCAGGGGAATAAAGGACTTAAAATTATTTAATTTTCTGGTTACCTTTCTTTGTTCTTTTTAACAAGAAAGAGTAACGAGGAGAGCCTCAGTAAAACATCCCATCAGTAACTGCAAAATATAAAGCCTCCTATCTCAGAAATCACATTGTCAAGTCTCATCTGACTCAGCTAATTTAAATTCCTAGAAGAAAAAAAGCACCAGTCACATCATAGTATGTCTCGCTCTTGACTTTCTAGATGAGGGTCAACATAAAAATCACAAATTGGTATTATTTTAAAGTCACATTTATACAGCAAATGTCAAAACATTCTGCCATTACATGCACACAGAGTCTCCTGAGACTCATGCTCTGTGGAAGAAGTCCCTTCAGGGTTCCCTGTTGCTATGCCACAGCAGAAGTGCCACTCAACTTGGAGACAGATCTAGCCATCATCTTGTTCTCAACTGCAGACATATCACAGTAAAACCCAGAGGACCTACAGGAACGGGTTTCCAAATTTCCCCCCAAGAAAGACACCAAAATACCATTAAGGAGGAGAATGGCGACAGCAAAGCCAATCTTGAATTACTTCCGACACCCTTCAAACAGATAAAATAGGAGCCAGTCCCTCCCAGTAAGGAGCAGGTAGACAGGGAAAGGAGTCTCAACAAGGATCATCACTCCCTCCGCCCCATTTCTACATATATTTTTAATTCTTGTGAGAGCACTGCTTTGAAAGTTACCTCTCCTGCAGTCAGCAAAAAGAAAAATGCTCTGAGTGGTGCTTCATTCAGCACAGACCAACATAAGAGGATGACCACCTGTAAGACTACACCCTTCATTTCAAGAGTCACAGAAAGAAACTCTTAACAGGTGAGTTGTGAGAAGATATTTCAGGTGTAGGCACATTTAGCAGCACATCTCTTCATTCTGCTTCCACAGCTGGAATGTGACTGATGAGTGGATGCTGACGAGTCTGTGGTGTTTCCCCAAAACCCATAGTAACTTCATAATATACAACAACCACATCTGCTTTGTCTATCTGCTTCGTCAGAGCCAATTTTCCACTGAGGATGCCAACACTTTACATTTCTGTGCCAGTTCACTGCTCCTTCTAAACTCAGTTGTTCCACAGAATACACTTTTGTTTGTCTGTTGAATACTTTCAGCACTTTAGAACCATTTAATAGTACTTGATATAAGAGAAAAACCTTTTAGCTTTATACAGCGGCCTCTAACTTAAAAAAATTAGAAGTTGGACTATTTGGGCAGCTAGCCCCGCAAAACACAATGTGATCATACCCGTTAGTTAGAATTTACATGCATTCAGATCTTCATACATAAAATTAAAAGAGCCAAACAACAATAACAGCATTTTGAATTTAAAAAATATTTTAAAAGCCTTAGGGCAACCACAACTCTCCAAATGGCATTGTTCTAGGATCCCACAGTACATCAAACCAGGACATGCCCCACTGAGCCAGAGTGCTTTGACTTTTTTTTCCTGGTGTGCTTCGCATTCAGTCAACAGAGACTCAGGGAGATGTACCACAGACACACTGGCGTGTGTCTAGTGCACTTCTAGTGAACTTGCCATGAGCTTGTGTAATCATCAGTGACAAAATTGTTATACAGATAAAATCTGCAATTTAATATTTTAATACTATTAACCTTTAATTTTATTATTAAACTAATGATAATATTATTCTAAATATTCTGGTGTTGGAGACATTTTCTAATATTTATTGCCTGGCAAAATCTAAGGAGAAGGCAGCATGGCTTTCAACATTGGCAAGTTATCCGTATATCTAAAGAACTACTGTGTCTCTTAGCCCTGTAACCTAGAACATTAATTGCTTGAACTTTAAGAACTTATTAGGCTATCATATTTATGATACAATTTTTCTGTAAAGCAGAGAGGTACTTCCATAAAGTTAGAGCAGAATCATTTAATTCAGAATATGTAGTAATTAGAAATCTTTGATCATGTCATGATGTTTCATGATTAGAAATCTTTGATCAGGGAAAGCCATTTAAAAATTCTCTATGAGCTTTTCACATGACTACTCAAAAGTAACAATGTCACCAGCTTCATGATACACACACATTCTTCTCTCTGACTTGGCACAAGCAAACAACTCCCCCCCCAGCTTGCCATTTGTTTTTCACCCTGGTGTTCATTCCTTAGAACAAGTTAATTACTCCTTAAAAACTGGGTCAAACCAGGAGCAGAGGCCTTAACAACAGGGCCATTTCCTTGCACAATTTCCCATGTACTCCTGACTGATGTTCCTTTTCTAGGGAACAGACTGCGTGTTAATACCCACCACTCATTACAAGAAGTGAATAAAGCAGAACAGAGAAAAGTGAAAGGGAACCACAGAATCAATGGTTTGGGTTGGCAGGGACCTTAAAGATCATCTAGTTCCAACCCCCCTGCCATGGGCAGGGACACCTCCCACCAGACCAGGTTGCTCAATGCCCCATCCAGCCCGGCCCTGAACACCTCCAGGGAGGGGGCAGCCACAGCTTCTCTGGACAACCTGTTCCAGTGTCTCACCACCCTCACAGTGAAGAATTTCTTCGTAATGCCTAATTTAAATCTACCCTCTTTCAGTTTAAAGCCATTGCCCCTTGTCCTATCACTATATGCCCTTGGAAAAAGTCCCCCTCCAGCTTTCCTGTACGTCCCCTTTAGGTACTGGAAGGCTGCTCGAAGGTCTCACCAGAGCCTTCTCTTCTCCAGGCTGAACAACCCCAACTCTCTCAGCCTGTCTTCATAGGAGAAGTGCTCCAGCCCCTGATCATCTTCATGGCCCTCCTCTGGACTCAATCCAACAGGTCCAGGTACTTCTTATGCTGGGAGCCCCAGAGCTGAACACAGCACTGCAGGTGGGGTCACACCGGGGCAGAGCAGAGGGACGGAATCATCTCCCTAGACCTGCTGGCCACAGTTCTCTTGATGCAGCCCAGGATGCGATTGGCTTTCTGGGCTGCAAATACACATTGTAAGGTCACGTTGAGCTGGGGGAAGAGAAGGGAAATAGGGCAAGGGAAAAAGGGAAGGGCAAGAAGAATGGAAATAAAGGACATGGTTGAGTTCACTAAAGCTTTCTGTTTTGCTGTGGAAGACACCACTATTACTGACTGAGGCAATACATACTTGTTTCACTAATACCACAAGATATTCTTGGCAAAACTGTTTTCACAGATTCAGTTTCAATTTCAAACTACCCTTCCTTTCTCAAAACACATGATTTGAGGTTTGAATTACTAT